GAATAAAGAGAAGGTCATTTGGCTTCTCTCAGCACAGGAAGAAGCTGTATTATTTGCTGACTTCTGCACCCATAGCTATGAATATTTGGGAGGCTAATAGAATAGATTGTACTAGATGGTTCCTTAATTTACCCTGTGAAATAATTTTAGTTAATATTTATAAAGTGTTAAGGACCAATCGAGCAAACCCATATTCATATGAAAAATCCTTTCTTACATGTAGTCCTGTTGATGTGAACTATTTACATGAGCAAGGGTTTGCAGGATTGGATCCTTGAATATTTATAAACAGCAATCACAATTATTTTATGAGGTAAGTTAAAGAACCATCTGGTACCATCTATTATTTTATCCTCTCTAATTTTCATAGTTATGTGTGCAGAAGTCAACATGTATTACAGCTTCTTCCTGTGCTGAGAGAAGCCAAATGACCTTCTCCTGATCCATTAAACTTATATTCTTTTTAATAGAGGGTTAATCCTTTCACCTCTAACAATGGCATAAAATTAACATACTAGCTGATGCGCTAATGAACTAAATCTTACAAGAGGCTCAACTTGAGGATCATGTTCTTAAAAATTAAGTATTTTCTTCTGCCTAAAAGAACAGCACATTCCATCTATTCCATACAGTGCCAAAGGAGGGATCATGACACGGGCCATATTTAACTACTAAAAATCCGTATGATATTTTTAGCAGCAGATAGCTCTGGTGCTTACACTGTAGTAATTTCCCCAAATTACCTTTTTCTCTAGAGGTGCTGAATGTTCATCAACTTCAACTCAAGCTAGAATGCTCAGATCCTTTCAGGAGCAAGTCCTGGAGTGCAACCCTGAGAAACCTACACTCATGTAGAGATGGTCAGAACATTTTCTCTGAATTGAAATTTCAACAACAGAAGCAGAAATAATTAATTTATTTTTGACCATTTCTACTCATGTGAAAAGTCCTTACTCATGCAAATAAAATCAATTCAAGTGACTGGATTAATTAATTGTATGAGTGCTAATCTGGTGAGTCAAATTTTGCAGGATCAGGTGTGTCATCACTTATTTTGTAATAAATAAATAAATAAAAAATCATAAAAGTTGATTAGATTGCAGCATACATCAATCTAATCTGTGTCCCAGTTTCAAAGGGAAACTTTGAAACCACAGCCACATTGGTAAGTTATATTTTTACCATTCAAAGAAACTATTTCTTTTCAGCCAGCAAAGAGCATATATGATTTGTTTCTTTACAATGAAGGGCTTCCGCTTAAAATATTCAACAGTAAGTAGGCTTGGAAGGATTAGCTTTTTATTGGTAAATGTCAAACGTCAATTTCACTATACACAAACAAACCAACCAACAAATATTTTATTGATGATCAAAATTTACAGATAGGCAGAGTAAGAAAAATGCTACTTGAGAACTTATTAGAGTTTGATTTAAGGCTAAAATTTGACCTAGAATGTTGACAATTTGTGTTTTAATAGTTAAAGCTTTACTATTTTGAATCTCAATGTCTGTCATTAAATAATGTCTGCCCCCCCATTTTTCACAACTGTGAAAATTTAAATTGATAAAAATAAAAATTAAACTCCATAATTTTGCACTACTGTGAACATTTAAATTGATAAAAATTGATTAAAAATTAAATATAAACATTGATATTATCTGTCAAAATTATTTAAAAAAATACAAATTGAATTCTGCCAAGCCTATCACTAAGCCGCACTAAAATAGAGTTTTGAAATATTTATGATAGAGGTTCTCAACCTTTTTCTTTCTGAGAATCCCCCCTTTCCCCCCCAACATGCTATAAAAACTCCAGGCCCACCTGTGCCACAACTGTTTTTCTGCAAATAAAAGGCAAGGCCAGCGTTAGAGGGTAGCAAGCAGGGCAATTGCCCAAGGCCCCCTTTGGTGTGGGCCCCCATGCGGAGGGGCTTCAGCTTTCTGCCCTGGGCCACACCAATTCTAATGCTGGCCCTGCGTGGCGGACCGCCTGAAACCTGCTCAGGCCCCTCAGTGGGTTCTGGGCCTCTGGTTGAGAACCACTGATCTATGATATGAATACCAGGGATGTGAGCATGAACAGGCATTCCAATTGAATACATACATACATAATGGGTGTTGTGCACATTTGTCCAGTGCCCATATCCTGGAGACTGAAAACATAAACACAAGCTGGATTTTGGTGCAATTGTCCCAGTATACTAGCTTTCGGTTTGTTGTTCTACATTTTGATTAATATTTCTATATTTTCAAGATTGTCTTAAAAACCGATCAAAAATCAGTAAGTTTCAGTCCAAATGAGTGCAACTTGGCAGGTCTGAAAATCATTTAACATTTAATTAACTAAACATTTTTTTCCCCAATCAAATGATGACCACTTTTGGTCACTACCTGCCTAGAACAAAGATTGAAGAGGTGAATTGAAGGTTGAAAGGATCTATAGCCCTTTGTGATAGGCATTCCCCAAAGCATTTTAGTTTTAATAGACAAAATCTAACAGAGTTCTAAATGAGAATGCATATTCATGTATTTTTTATACTGGGCACGTTTTTAAGGATAAATGAAGGCAAGGAGTGTGAAGAAAACCTAAGAATTTATTTCTTATTTCTCATGCAAGCTGACAAAAGTTATATCAATGCCCCTCTTATTTATCATTTACTTTTAGTGTACATAAGAGATGACACATGGCCAATTTGAACTTCATTAGGACTCTTCACAAGAGTAAAGTAAGTATGTATTCCACAGCTTTTGACAGAAAGAATTTACAATCTAAAGACCTGATCCTGCAAACCCTTGCTCAGATAACTCAGAAGGACTACTCACTTGTGTAAAGATTGGCAGTAGTAACCTCTAAATTGTACAATAACCAGATGAAGGAAGAGAGAAGATCCAGTTCATATGGTCTAACATCCGGGATATCTTGTCCTCTAGTCAGCAGGAACATAGGAATTGGCATAGCAGTGGTCTATCTACTCCAGCATCCTCTCTCTCAACAGTGGTCTACATACATTTAATGCAATTATTATATAATTAGACTAGAGGCAATCAAAAGTATGTATACAAACTAAAACTTTTCCATTTACTTTATGTAACATTTTGTGAAAAGCACACTTAAAAAAAAAAAGCATCTTCTTCAACCCTTTCTAGGCAGATGCAATAAACTAGCCTCAGACAACAAAATTTCCTACCAGGCTGCAAAACATGGCAAATATGAGGTTTCTATTGCACGGTACATAGTAATAATTTGCAGATGTCAGGGAGAAATAAAGTGTTTATTAGGGACAGAGAACAAGAGAAAAAAATGCCCAGTGTTTTGGTAAGCCATGCCATGTGATGGACCATGGTGCACTTCAAATGGAAAAAATAATGCCCTTCAAAGTATCTTCAGGAGCTAGGACTGAAAATCATCCCAGGCGGGAAGGGACTCAGGAAGGGGGATGAATTCCAGGGCTCGGGTTCACTTGCACCGCTTTTACACCAGTGCCGTTCGTGGAGTTACTCCGCATTTGCACGGCAGGGTGAGGTTAGCGGGGAAACCCTTCCCCTTCCCCGGGGGACACGGAGGAGGTGATTCCCGGCGCTCCTGAGCCGGGGTGGGCTGCGGTGGAGGCTGGCACGGCCCCGGGGAACCGCAGGAGAGGGGAGCCGCAGGGGGCGCTCCCGGCAACCTCGATCACCTCGGGAGCCTGGAACAGCAAACCCCACCCCCCAAAGCCAGCCGGGCGCTGGCATGTGGCAGGCGGGGGCAAGCAGCGCGTGCTGCCCGCCGCCGCCCCAGTCCGCCCGCAGCCTGTGAGGAAGGCTCCTCTCCATCGCCGCCGCCTCCTCCTCCCTGCCCGCCGGGTCCGGGCTCGGCAGCAGCGCTCGCTCGCTCGCAGGCGGCGGCAGCTCCCCTCCCTCCAAGATGCCAGCACGGCTGCTGCCCGCATTGCCACGCTTGTCGGCCGGCTGAGGGAGCCGCGGGGGCAGTCCGAGCGCGGCCCTTGCATCCCGGCTTCCCGCCGCTCCTATGGAGCCGTGGCTGGGCAGGCACCGGACGCGTCAGGCGAGGTAAGGCGCCGCCGCCGCCTGTTGCATTGCCCCGCCTGGCTGCCCGCCTGCTCCCGGGAGTCCTGTGCCCTGCCCCGGGCACGCAGCGCGCGCGGGGGGCCGCTCGCACTGCAACTCCGGGAACTTTTGCAGGCAGGCTCGGCTCGCTGCGCCCGCTGGCCCCGGGGCGGCGCTTCCCCCCGCTGCTGCTTTTTGTTTATTTCTTAATTCGATGTGGCCGAGCCCTGCCCCAACTCCGGGGGGCGGGTGAGCTCTTGGGGCAGGCGGCGGCGAACCCAGTGCTGGATGCTCAGGGCTGGGCGGGGCAGGGGGACGCTGAAAGGAAATGGAGCTGGCCTCGCCAAGGGCTAGGAGGGCTCGATCGGTCCTCACCAGTAGCAGCCAGGCGAGCCCGGGCAGGCTGCACCCGTGTGAGCCGGGGACTGTGTCTGGGGAAGGGGGCAATAGCAGGGAGCGGGGCTCTGTGACTGGCTGGCTGGCTTGGGCGGGGGAGGGGGGCTGGCTGGCTGGCTTGGGCGGGGAGGAGGCTGTGGGGGCGCCAAGAGCAACTCCGGGAGTTAGCTGGAGGGAAGAAGAGCGAAGCCCGGGGCTGTGGGAGTGGGTGGGCTGCAGCCCCCTCCCCCCAGCTCTAGCAGCGGCTGGGGGAGGGGAAGGGGGCAGGAGAGCGTGTCCTGGGAGGGGTGATGAGGGCACATCCCCCCCCACCTGGAGTGAAAGGCTCTGGGGAGCGGAGCAGGTGGAGTCAGACACCCGCTGGCCGACTAGTGCAGCTTGCAGCTGTGCGTGCCACCTAACTAGCCATCCGCGCGTCTCCAGCGGGAACCCCAGCCATCCCTGCCGCAGCCGGGCCGGAGCCCTGCTCAGCGGAGCGGAGCCTGCTGCTTCCCACAGCTAGCTGGGGCTGCAGGTAGAAACTCCCCGGAAGGGCCCGAAGGCGGTAGGTGGGCTGAAAGGGTGGGGTGGGGCTGAATAAAGGAGCGGAGGCTGTAGGAACTAGGGCTACCACCCACCACCGGCTTTGGAGCAAGAAGAGATTGACACCCTCCCGTGCTAGAGCAAAGGGAGCATTTTCAAGGCGTGTCTTGTTTCATTTTTTGCAAGCTGATGGCACGCACGGGTTGCAGGGTGTCAAGCTGATCAGCATTCAAGTGGCGATGAGTGAGCAAAGTGAAGTGAGAGAGGCGCGTGCAACTGGCAGTGGAAGCTGAGAGGATGGTGCATGGGGAAAGAGAGAGAGAGGGAGAGAGATGGGAAGAAGCTGTTTGTGTTGCCTTGGGATTTTTCCACTTTGAAACCTACCAGGACCAGTTGCTACGAAGCATGAAGCAGGCGGTGATGGTTGTGATGATGAGGAAAGGCTGTTTCTAAATGACTGGGCTGCAGCTCCCTCAGAATACAAGCAACAAATGGCAGCGGGCTGTGGCCGGGCTGCAGCAGCAGCAGCTGCAACTCCCAGGTGAGCTGCAAAGGCTCCAGGCTGCAAGCTGCAGCTTTCCATGCGTGTGCCTCCCATTCTGCTTCTGATTCACCCCCAACCCCTTACCCCCTAAGGCACTTGAACTGGGAGCCCATTTCCTAACCTGTGGGGTTAGTCTGTGGCTAGTAGTGGCTGACCAAGGGATTTGTGAGTGCCTCTTCTTTTGCTCTTTGCTTATTGCACTGTACCCCCTTGTACAGGAAAGCCAAGGGAAGAGAGGGGAGTTTGTGCTGGCTGATATGTACCCCGGTCTCTGTGATGCAGTAAAATAATAGGGCAGCGCAGTACCCTGAGCAGGACATTGTCGTGACCTTAAAGCTTAATGTTTAGATAGAAATTTCATGGCTATTTGTAATAAGTAGGTACAGAGATCAGTATGTGGAAAATAGTGTGTGTATGTTTAAAATTTGATAACACTATTCTGTATGTTGTTGCTTTGATGACAATATACATATCCAAAAACTGTCTCTTTAAAATCTGGAACTCAACACTATGTCAATGCAATAGTATTTTTTCTTTCCTTTTTTTTTTAGCATCTTTCCATAATTCTAAAAATGTTTTTTTTTTATTATCTCTTAAAAATACCCATGCAGTTTGGACTGCAAGTTATCAGTCAGTATTTGCTAAATGGCCCCTTTTACTAGACAGAAGATATGGTGTGATTACAAAATAAAAATAAAGGCGCACAAAATACATCAATTTACCAAATATTTACACAATTGAATTGAAATTGGTCAAATAGCATATGAGGCTGGTATCCAGGAATTAAGCATATAGCAATTTATATATCTGTAAAAATGACAACTGGGTTATTGCTTTTAAAAAGATGTTGTTTTTTTAAAGTAATAGCCTTGGAAAAGTGCTCCAAATACTTGCACCAAAAGAGAAAACCATACCTTTGAGTATAAAACTTTGGATGGGACAGATCTCATCTCAATACTGAAAAATTATTGGCTACAATAATTTCTTGGTGCTAAACCATTTAATGATTTATAAATTCAGATTGCAAGATGCCTGTTATGCCTTGTTGGGAGTGGTCCTTTGATATAGAGTACAAGAGTGTTCACATAGTTTACATTTTGATATTTTAAATAATGTCACCAAAGAAAGAAACATACAAATTGAGTTCATAGTTTGATTTGGAGACAGAGGCTAGAGTAATTAACTATGATATAAACTAACTCACAAAAACCTTCACCATTCTCAAAGTGACTCTGTTTCTTAATTTTCTTTTGTAGGATCTAATTGAGTAGTAATCTTTTTCAGAGTATCAGTAATATTGAAGGAATTATTAGAACAACTCTGTAACCCTTATTCACACAGGTAGTCCTGGGTTTCAGTGGGATTATTCACATGAGTAAGGGTTAATAACTTGGCTAAGGATTGGGCCTATTGTCAACTAGTTATGATGTGGTATTAAATAGGGATCTGATTTTGTTGAAACTATTGAGAAATCTCTCATTTGACTTTAAGTAGAAGCAGAACTGAGGCTGAGCCCTTACATTCTCTTCTTTGTCCATATATTGCTGACAGAGAATTGAGACCCAGTCCTGCTCCCAGTGAAGTCAGATGCAAAACTTTCATTGACTTTAATGTGAGCAGGATGTGATCCTTGGGGTGCTAATTTCCATTGATTTTTAGTGGCATTGAGGCTGCTTAGCACCTCGCAGGAGGTGTTCGGAGCCTGATAAGATTGAGCCCTTGGTGAGCTTTTGTTTACTAGCAGAAATATCCTATCTGTAGCTTTCTTGACAGTGAGAAATATTTACTCTTAAGCCACATGATTTGCCTCAAATGGGAGACTAATGGAAAAACAAGACATTTAATTAGCAAGAAATAAGAATGTATTCATAGGGAGGGCCCAATCCTAAACCACAGAAGTCAATGGGAGCTTTGCCATTGATATTGATGGGAGCAAGATCAAGGCTTGTATATACTTACTTTGGTTTCGTTATACATATATTGCGTTGGTTGTTTAATTTAAAACCCAAAAAGGAAACACAGCACTAGACTTTGAGATATTCCAACTGTACTGTTCTGCTCCCATTGAAGTCATAATAGATTGCCAGGGGCAATCAGGAGCAAGCTCAAATAGCTTGTCAATTCAAGAAACAACCTCAAAACCGTAGAATTGAAATCTAGAAATGAAAGATGACTGTGGTCAGTGTCAACATTGGTGTTTGAACCAAGAGAAATGTAATATAAAATGGATTTAAGTAATCGAGGAACCAAATTCTGCTTGTGTTACTTATGTAGTGGGTCCAATTGACTTAAGGGGGTCACTTGTGTAAACAAAGCATGCATGATTTAGCTCACTATCGGTAAATTTGGAAAAATTCTAAACCTAACTGAGAATGAAAGGAAGATGCAAAATGTTTGTAAACATTAGTTATCACTAACTGCCTAATGGAGTGAGAGGAACAACTGTTGGTGGTATTTTTTTAGAATCAGTTAAAGGTATATACATGATTTTAAATATGATAATTTATCTATTTATTATGGGCTGATCTGTAGCCCATTGTAGTCAGCTTCATTGACTTCAATGGACTTTAGATCAGTTCCCATTTGAGAAAGAAACTTCATTTGTGTTCCACTGTTGATATACATGTATACTTTATAAGTTTTGTTTTTCCCAGTATAATCAGTTAGTAAATGTAAAGCAAATGTCTTGCTGTGCAATTCATATTTGTCTGTAGCTATAAAACTCCTAAAACAAAATGTCAAAAGGAAGAAAGGAATCTGGTTTTTAAAATGATAGTATGATTCTCAAACACCATGATTAAACATTTTGCTTTGAACCAAGAATGAATTAGCAGAGTTCATGGAGTTTGTAGTCACTTATTCTGGCCTCCTTTGAACAGTTTTACCAAACAAGCTCTGATATTTTAAAAATGTTACTTGTGGAACATACAGCTTTGGTACAACATTTGTGCTCTTGTGTGAACCAGAAGTCAGCATGTCCACAGATACTACATGCAAGAAATTAAAGAAACCTGCTAACTAATTTAATAAACTTTTTAAAAAATTATGGCTAACTTGTAAATACATACATGAATGCTTGTATGGTAGTATTTAAACATAATACATCATAGGTAGAACACTATTGAATTTGGAGGTCTTTTTTCTGGTGATCCTGAGTCTCTATTTTGTTGGCTTTAGTCCAGTGCATTTGATAAAGTAAATTATTTCTTCTTCTTTTTTCCATTTTTGTGGCCACTTTGTGAAGCTTGTTCTGGATGTGCAGCACATACATGAACTCATCCAAAACAAAACATACGTTCAATCAGATGCAATATCAGTTTTCCCTTAGCGCTTTTTCAGCTCTTCATTTACACAAGTAGTAATTGCCAAACCCAGCACAGGGGAGGCTCTCCTTATTTAACAATGATTAAGGCGCATGCTGTTGATTCATGAGGATTTGTGAATGTAATAGTTGTCTGTAAGTATAGCTGGTGATTTTCATTGTAGACTTCTGTACAGTATTGATTGACTTGGACCACAAGCATATTTTACGTAGGGACTTAGGTTGAACTTGAAAGGTATTATGCATAGCATTTGCTGCTAGTTCACATAAAAAAGCTGGTGGAGCCTGGAATTTTGTCTTTTCCATTCTTGTGCTCTCTTTTGAGTATTTACATCACATAGAGATTATAGCTTGGTTTATTTTCACACTGATTTCAAAAGTGGACTTGGGAAAACTCTTTCACCATAAGGATGGGCACAACTCCAAAGTTCTGTATTCTGTTGCCAAGGAAAAGGTCGTAGCTAAAGTAAAATGGCTGTTCTGTCTCTGGATGGTATTCTCTTGTTAGGATGAAAGAAGGAAAGATAAGAGAGACTGGGGCCTGGTCCACACTAACCCCCCACTTCGAACTAAGATACGCAACTTCAGCTACGTGAATAAGGTAGCCGAAGTCGAAGTACCTTAGTTCGAACTTACCACGGGTCCAGACGCGGCAGGCAGGCTCCCCCGTCGACTCCGCGTACTCCTCTCGCGGAGCAGGAGTACCGGCGTCGACGGCGAGCACTTCCGGGATCGATCCCAGAAGATCAATTGCTTACCGCCGGACCCGGAGGTAAGTATAGACGTACCCTGGGAGAGGAATGGGGAAGGGACGCGGCAATAGAAGACGAAGGAAAGGGGAAAGTGAGAGACATCACAGGAGTTGTCTAGTTTGGGAAAAGAGGTTATGACCTTATTACACTATTATCTAATCCTTAGAGAAGAAAGATGGTCCGGTACAAGTCGTGAGTTCTGGCTTCAGTTTCCTGCCCCACCTCAGACTTCTTTTGTGACCTTGGGAAAGTTAGTTCATCTTTGTATGCCTCAGATCACTGTCTGTAAAATGGGGATAATAGTACACCTCTACCCCGATATAATGCTGTCCTCGGGAGCCAAAAAATCTTACCACGTTATAGGTGAAACCGCATTATATTGAACTTGCTTTGATCCACCGGAGTGTGCCTCTCTCTCCCCCTCCCCCCCCGCTGCTTTACGGCGTTCTATCCGAATTTGTGTTATATTGGGTTGCATTATATCAGGGTGGAGGTGTACTTCCCTACCTCACAGTGGTGTTGTGAGGCTAAAATATGTTAAAGATTGCGATGTGCTTGGGTGCTACTGTAATGGGGGCCATATAAGTTCCAGAGATATAGATATAGCATGTCCTTTTCCTTAGTATAGGTTTGTGTTAACAGTTTTTACCTCAGTTATCTGGCCAGGTCCACTCTAGGCTCCCATTTCAGCTAGCTAACACAAACAAACAAAATACACCATTTATTACAGTCTAGACAAGGCCTTAGGGGAAACGAAGAGTACACCTCAGCCAGCTAAATTGAAGTGAAAGGTGTAGATACAAGGGATAAGGTCGTGGCTGGGTGAGGGAGAAGTGGAGCAGGAAGGAGATAGCAGGATAGGCGGAAAGGTGATAGAGACAACAGAGGAAAGTGAGAGACAACATGAAAATGGGATGCTGCTG